TCCAACAATTAAACACACAACTGGTAATATGCATCCCCCTTTTTAGGTCACCTGAGTCACTCAGGTGACCTATTGCTATCTGTTCTCGTCCGTCGGCGTGCGTCGTGCGGTGTGCGTCGTGTGTTAACATTTGAACATTTTTAGCTTCTTCTCTGAAACCGCTTAACCAATTTCAATCAAATTTGGCATATAGCATTTATGGGTGAAGGGGAACAAAAATTGTGAATTTCATGGTCCCTGCCCCCCTGGGGCCTGAGGGGTGGGGCTAAAACCACTGAAAATAATGCAATCTTTAAAAATCTTCTTCTTCACTCCTGGACATCAAGCAGTCAAACTGTTGGCATCATAGTAATGAGCATTGAGCCCTCTACCAAAATTGTGAAATTCAAGGCCCCAGGGTCAGGGGTTCTGGTGCTAGGGTGGGGCTATATAGATCATATAGTGAAAGTGCATCATTTCTTTGAAAATCTTCTTCTCTGCTCCTGGGTATTATATAAACTAACTAAGTACATACTTATGAAGAGCAAGAGTGCCTCTTCCAAAATTGTGAATTTCATGGCCCCATGGTCAGGGATACTGGTGTTAGGGCGGGGCTCTATTGATTATGTAGTGAAAATGCATGAATTCTTTGAAAATCTTCTTCTCTGCTCCTGTGTATTAAGTAAAGTAACTAAGTACATAGTTATGATGAGCAAGAGTGCCTCTTCCAAAATTTTGAATTTCATGACCCCAGGGTCAGGGGTTCTGGTGTAAGGGCAGGGCTCTATTGATTATATAGTGAAGATGCATTAATTCTTTGAAAATCTTTTCTCTCTCCTGGGTATTAAATAAGGTTACTCAGTACATAGTTATGATGAGCAAGAATGCCTCTTCCAAAATTGTGAATTTCATGGCCCCTGGATCAGGGGTTCTGGTGTTAGGGCGGGGCTCTATTGATTATATAGTAGAATTGCAGTAATTCTTTGAAAATCCTTTTCTATGCTCCTGGGTTTTAAATAAACTAGCATAGTACATAGTTATGAAGAGAAAGAGTGCCTCTTCCAAAATTATGAAATTCATGGCCCCAGGGTCTGGGATTCTGGTGTTTGGGGGGGGGGGCTCTATTGATTATATAATGAAGATGCATTAATCATTTGAAAATCTTCTTCTCTGCTCCTGGGTATTAAATAAAGTAACTAAGTACATAGTTATGATGAGCAAGAGTGCCTCTTCCAAAATTATGAAATTCATGGCCCCAGGGTCTGGGGTTCTGGTTGGGGGGGGGGGGGGGCTCTATTGATTATGTAGGGAAAAGGCATGAATTATTTCAAAATCTTCTTCTCTGCTCCTGGATATTTTTCAAACAAAGGAAGTGCATGGTTATGATAAGGAAGAATGTCTCTTCCAAAATTGTGAAATTCATGGCCCCTGGGTCAGGGGTTTTGGTGTGTGTGTGTGTGTGGGGGGGGGGAGCTCTATTGATTACATGTATATAGTGAAAATGCATAATTTATTTCAATTTTTTTTTTATTTACTACTGGTTATAGACTAGAGAAACAAGACTAGTGTATAGTTATGATGAGAAAGGGTGCTTCTTCCAGAATTGTGAGTTCGTGGCCAATGGGTCAGATGTTCTGGTGTAAGGATGGGGCTTTGTTTATTTAGTAAGATGGTGAAAATGCATTTCTTTGCTTTGAAAATCTTCTATGCTTCTCTGGATGTTCAAGGCAAACAGAGTAAAAGTTTTAATATGCAAGGGTATTTTTACCAGAATTTTGAACACCTGGACTATTTAGTCAAGCTTCCTGGTCCTGGCCAGGGCTCTATTAACTTGTATTCTACTGAGCAAAGTTATTCCCTTTAGCCATTCACCTTTGATAATTAATCAATGTACATAATGTATTTGAAAGCTTAATAGAATAAGAGAATTATGCAAGAAAATTTATTGTATAATAAAAAAAGTACTTTCATAGTTTTAATGACTTGGAAATAATAGATGAATAAAAATGAGACAAAAATAACTTATCTTTTTAAATGTTCTTCAACGACTAAGAGAGGCCATTGTGAGGAGGAATAATATGGGGTTAAATAATAGACATTTTGTTAATAGTCTGCATGGGAATAGTGATAAATGGGGGAGGGAGGGGGGCAGATAGATACTAGACCAATTATTTTGTTGATGCTAATCATACTATTTTTCTTGCTGTTGGGAAACAAAGCTTCATTTATCAGTTTATGGATCCTCTAAATTGTTGTATTGTACTCAGGTGACCGTTAAGGCCCTTGGGCCTCTTGTTTACGTTATCTATACATGTATTCTGTGTAGAATGTTTTTTTTTATTCGGGGGTGTTCATATACTACAAGTTTAAGATTGCGTGCCTGTTAATTTATCTACATGTATAATATTCGTTGTACGTATTCTTGAGAGTCTAGCGGAATTTTAAAAGAATTTTTTTTTTAAAAGAATACTCGTTACTCCTCCATTTGCATTTATAATATGTTTCAAGCATCCAAGCCACATTGAGCTGTTCTCTAATGAATATTAATGAAATGTGCGCAATGAGGATGATTTGCATATTATGTCGATGTTGTATTCTCACTCGTGCAGTTTTCGTTTTTAAGTTTGTGTAATTTCCTCACAATATCGTGTAAATATTTTGTTGATTGTGCAGTTTTTCTATAGTTTGTGTAAATTTTAATAACTTCGTGTATATTTTCCTCACTTTGTGTAAGTTTTTACTTACTCGTGTAATTTTTGTTTAAGGTCGTGCAGAAAATAATTTTGAAGCAATCGGCGTGCCATAACAATCCGTTTACGAAAATATGAATACTCTGTCCTGCAAAGGCAATAAAATAAGTAATCTGACATTGAAATATGGGCCTTCAGTTCTCTGATCTGTGAGTACCTGTAATAAATTCCAACTCTTTGCTAGAAAAAATGAAAGATCGAGCTCATGAGTATCCCTCCTCCTTGTTTTGTTTAAACGATAAAACATGTTCCTGGTCATCTCAGGAAAAAATATATTGCCTGCAATGGCATAAAATGAACTTTGAGCAATAATTTTGATCCAATGTTTTCTCAAACGTCTGAGTTGAATTCTACTCACCTATTTCATAGTGGTATTTTCCATGATAATTATTTCTTTTTAAGTGCGCATTTCCTGTGTGTTACATTATTACAAGCATATATAAATATGTTAAATTGCACACAATAATACAAGGATGGAGAATAGGACGGAAGACCTCTCGTTGCTTGCAACGAGTTTCTAGTTTTTTTGTTTGTTTGATTGTTTTTTTTTTTTTTTTTTGTTTTTTTTTACGAGTGCAAAGCACAAGTGAAAATGTAAAAAAAAAAATAAAATCCTGTCCCATTCGTGAAATAAATTCCATATTCAACTACAAAACATTTTTTTTATTTTCCCTTTGCCTCTGTCTTTTCTCAACACAGTGTCATAGGCTGTGACGTGATAGTTGAGCAGTTGAGACATCATATAGTTCAGCTGTTGTGAGATTGAAAACATTGTAACATGGATTTTAGCAACATATTTGGGAAGAAATTGGCAGGTTTAGTCTCCATCAAGATGGTTTAGTTACTATATCTTATTACAGGCCAGAAATTATTTTTATATACTTTGATATCCTTTCACACTATGAAAGAATATCACTACTGTATCCTTTGACATTGTGAGAGAATATCACTTTTATTTAATAAACAAATCACAGTATTTCACTCTTGAAAATGTAATAAAGTTTTCTATTTAAAAAACAGTACATGTCTAAAAGTTTACCAATGATCAGAGGATGTGTCGGGCAGATCGTTAAATTTTTCAAAGGGGCGGGGGGTGAAGAGGAAACAAGTTATTATAACGTAGGTTTACGTATAGTTAAACGACAACTTAATATTAATAAGAATACTATAAGGATGTAGTATCGTTTTTTGAAAGTGGGAGGACCGGCCAGGGGAAAAAAATTTGGATTACCTGATATGTTTTGACAAAAAAAAGGAAAATAAGTCCCCAAGCCTGAAAATCCTATTTCTTGTGTGTGTGTGGAGGGGGGGGGGCATTGTTTTTCACAACCAAATTTTCTCCATACATTACTACATAGCCTTTCACTCAACAATGTCTATATCAAACACACAACAAATATTCTGGACTCTCTCTTTATCTCTAGCAAATCCAAAGGGGGAATTGCAACCCCCGTAACCCCCCTTTGGATCTGCCACTGTGTGTCATTTTTTAACAAGGCAAATTGAAGGTTACGTTTACAAAAGAGCTAGGTTCACTTTTTGCGTAAAATGGCCCTGTGGAGATACCAATTTATTGACTAACACTTTATGTTCCATTTTAAACATCAAGTTAAAGTAGAGACTTAGTGCTTTCATTTCCTATTAAAAAATTTTCTTCTTAAAGCCAAGATCTTGGAAAACAGGCTTCATGGAATTGCAATGTTCTTGAATTTTAAGGAAAACAAGTCTATTTGAGTACTTTTACAGAAGAGAAATAATATGAGCGCACCCTCTGATCTAAAAAATAAAACATGTTTTGTAATCCTCAGAAATAGTTCTATCATTTAATAGTTGCATATTTTAGATCAGAGGTTGCGCGCTATATTAAATATCGAAAAATAGCTTTAAAAATTGTCTGTTTTTGTAGAATTTTTAAGGATATGAGGAAAATGACGCATTTCATGACGTCATAATGCATTGACTAGCCAGAAAATTACGCCATTTTTGATAGATACTCAGTCATCAAAGGTCTAAATGATATTTAATGCATTGTCAACTAAAACCAAGCAGTTTCAGTTTTTCTGAAATTCACAGGGCCAAAAAAGGCCCTAAGTGAACCTTGTTCTTTGAATGGGTACTAAAACAATGGCAGTGGGGGTATTGAGCTTTGCTCACAGTACACTGTACCTCCTGTTTTCTATAATTTACTTGTAATGATGAAAGATCTAGGTAGAAAATTGAAATGGTTTGATTACATACTGACAGAGGTATATTTTTCATGATATTTTGTAGTTGTATGTGAAGCAGGAGAAAAAAGAATCAGCAGTAATAATACGTGCATGAAGTGTCCTGTTGCATACTACCAGCCAAACAGGGGACAAAGTGTATGTTTACAGTGTTCAGCAAAGCAGACCACAGAACAAGAGGGGACTGTATATCAGGCAGACTGTGTCCGTATGTACACTCTTGTATAAGCCCTTATAAAGTTTGGCTTCTGCTTCAATTACTATTTCTCTTAATTAGATGGTTATTGTGATGCTTACAGCATTGAACGAGAAGGATTAATTTAGCTCCCAGAAAGCAAGAAAACTTGGTAATAGGAAGTATCCATATCCAACTGCAAAACAAGTATTTTCTTGTCCCCCACTTTCATTTAAAGTGGGGGATATCAATTTGGGTTTGTCTATTTGCTGTCCATCCATCTGTCATTCTGTTTTTGTGTAATACTTTCATCTCCAAATGATACCTGAAAAAGCCTTTGAGCTTTTGCAATGAAATTTTATATTACAATTCTTTATCTCCTAAATAAGAAAGAAATTTATACATTTTATTTGTGTGGAGCATTTGTTTCCAAATGAAATCTCATAAAGCCTTTGACAGGCCTTTCAAAATCTGCCAGTACCCAGTACTTTTACCTGGCTGAAATCATGATTGTACTGGCCAAAATATTCATTTAAGAACATATTTAAGAATCGCTTCCAAAATGTACCTCCTATTTTTATAAAAGTACCACCTGTTTTTTATCTTTATAAAAGCCCTGCTTTGAGCGTTTGCAATGGATTTTTTTAATCACAACTCCCTATGACCCAAATAAGACATACTTGCCAACTTTTGAAAATTCCCATGGGGGATTTTGCACGACGTGACAACAGTTTTCAAAGCTTTACATTGGGGACATTTTGTTGTGAAAATAAATGTTTATCCCATTTTTTTTTTAAATTTGTAACGTTGATTTCATTTATTAATAAAGCTTAAGGATAAAAACAATTTTTCCTTCCAAAATTCAAAATCTTTGCTTAAATAGGTGCCTCTCTCAGTAAAGAAGTGATATCTGTTTAGTTAAACAACATCATGTTTGACCAAGACACATAATTTGGTGAGAAATGGAAAATGTACAACTTTCAGTTCAATAATATTTTATGCAAAGTTTTAGAAATATATGAGGTTTTGTAATTAGTGTAAAGTTTCTGAAAACATTTGCAAGATTCTGTATTTACATTTTACACAATTAGAATTTCCTAATTAGACATTAAATTTAAAAATTGCAATGCATTTGTGTGGGGGGGGGATAAGAAAATTTATTTGTTGTTGTACCTTTAAATATTAGTGTCATTTTATTCCCTATTAATAAGAACACATTATTAATTTCATTACACACAAAACAATTTGAAAAAATAAATTTACTCTTAAGATCATCAATTATTTAACACAAGGATACCCCTTATCACAAACAAAAATTTTAAAAAATGGTTATTGTCATAATGAACTTTTGCAGTCTTGGCAGTGCCATGTGGGTATTCCTTTGTCATAACAAAAAATAACAACAAACAAACACCGTATGTTACTTTTGGGAAAGGGGGGGGGGGGGAGAGAAATTCAGTGTACGTGACATGAGACTTTGTTGTTTCATTTTAATTATTTTCATATTATTTTAACCGGTAAACTTTACAATATTTTATTATATGCAGATAAAATCAGCAGCTGTGCTTTGCAGTTGTCTACTTTCGTTTTTAAAAATATGATCTACATGGATTCCGATTTTATTGTTATTTATCATATCATTGTGTTTAATTTTTGTTTTGTTTGTTTGTTTGTATGGTGTTTAACGTCCCTCTCGAGAATTTTTCACTCATATGGAGACGCCACCACTTGCCGGTGGAGAGCTGCAAATTTTGTCCTATACTCGGCTCTTACGGCCATTGAGCAGTGAGGGATCTTTTTCGTGCCAGCACCTACTGTGACACGGGACCTCGGTTTATACGTTCTAATCCGAAGGACAGGTCTCCACGTCCCACAGTGGGATTCGAACCCGCGACGTAAGGATCAACTCCTTACTTCGCGACTCTAGAGCAGACGCTCTAACCACTGCGCCACGCGGGTGACGTATTTAATTTTTGTATTTAATAAAAAACAACAACATTTAATTAACCCCCAAATCTATGTGTTTCACCATGCATACCCCTTCAAACTGAAAAATTCAATCCCCTAACTGCTCCTGGCTATATGTTACATGTACCTGGACAGCTGTGTGCATTCAAGCGAGAAGTGATTTCCTGTGGCTAATTAACACCTCTGCATGAGTTAAACAAACAAAGAGTATGGAACGCCATAGCTGCCTTATGTGGTTATTTCATGAGAAGATGGTGCTTTATTATGTTATGCTGTGGTTATTTCATGTGAAGATGGTGCTTTATTATGTTATGCTGTGGTTATTTCATGTGAAGGTGGTTTTTCATGTGAAGGTGGTTTTTTATGTGATGGTGGTTTTTTATGTGAAGGTGGTTTTTCATGTGATGATGGTTTTTCATGTGAAGGTGGTTTTTTATGTGATGGTGAATTTTCATGTGAAGGTGGTTTTTCATGTGATGGTGTTTTTTCATGTGAAGGTGTTTTTTTTTTTATATTTAATGTGATGGTGGTCACTCGGAACTCTAAATACTTTTGAAGACTGAGTTTAACTGCTATTATCTTGAAATTTTGAAAGTGAAACAAATAGTCGATATAATTTAAATCATTTTAATACGCCATTGCTAGTTCCTCTTTTTTCCATAGGCGCTTGGTTTCAGGATGGTGTATTTTGTGTATTATGTTTTTTCCTAGCTTTGTCTGCATTAATTCGATAACCTAAGAATAAAAAAATCACTGAAATTAGCAAGTTTTAAAAATGATATATTACTTTATATAAAAAAGAGTGGAGGTACGACAGTTGCAATCTTCGATTTTACGTCGTGCCCGGCTCGGTTTAATTTCTACACTTTTCCTACCAGTTTCGGGCAGGAATTGGGATGAAATCTACATTTAAAAATGATTGAATAACGCCTTTCAATCGTCTGCCAGTTCGAACTTGCCGTATAAAATATGCAGTTAACAAAAACGTCCTGATATCTAGAACTGAAAGTGAAAGCAATGGAAGTGACGATTTTTAACCAAGTAAAATGTAGAGGCGTCCCGGAATAACGAGAACAAGTTTGGCGCGGTTTCTGACTTCCCTAGATTTTCCGAAGATGGCAACTGTTGTACCTACACTCTTTCTATATAGACTAATATGACACTTTTTAAACGTGCTAATTTCAGTGATTTTTTTTATTCTTATGTTTTTGAGTGTATTCAGACACACCTACAAAAAATTCATAATACACAAAATACACCATTTTGAACCAAAGTGTCTAGATGGAAAAAAGAGGAACTAGCAATGGTGTATTAAAATGATTTTAATTACATTGACTATTTGTTTCCCTTTCAAATTTTCCAGTGTTAAACTCAGTCTTCAAAAATATTAGGAGTTCTAAGTGACCACCATCACATTAAATATAAAAAACCACCATCACATAAAAAAAACCCACCAACACTTGAAAAACCGTCTTCACATGAAAAACCACCTTCACATGAAAATTCACCATCACATGAAAAACCACCTTCACATAAAAAAAACCACCTTCACATGAAAAACCACCTTCACATAAAAAACCACCTTCACATGAAAAACCACCTCCACATGAAAAACCACCCTCACATAAAAAACCACCTTCACATGAAATAACCACAGCATAACATAATAAAGCACCATCTTCACATGAAATAACCACAGCATAACATAATAAAGCACCACCTTCACATGAAATATCCACAGCATAACATAATAAAGCACCATCTTCACATGAAATAACCACAGCATAACATAGTAAAGCACCACCTTCACATGAAATATCCACAGCATAACATAATAAAGCACCATCTTCACATAAAATAACCACAGCATAACATAATAAAGCACCATCTTCATATGAAATAACCACAGCATAACAGAATAAAGCACCATCTTCTCATGAAATAACCACATAAGGCAGCTATGGCGTTCCATAAAAGAGACTAATCTGTGTTCATTGAGTAAACAAGTCAGATATTCCTATCCCAATTGACAAAATATGGGAAACTCTGAAAATCGGAAATTTTAGGGTGAATTTTTTTTCAAATCGGGATTTTAGAGCAATTCTGCTTTCCCGATCGGGAAAGCGGGATCAAAGGGTAAAATCGAGAGGTTCGCGCCTAAATCGGGAAAGTTGGCATGTATGATAAGAGCCTATTGATTTTGAGGTCAATAGGTAAAATGTAAGGTCAGAAATTCATACACTGGGGAAAAAATGGTATCGAGACAATGACTTATGTTTTCTTCAATATTTTCAATGAAATTTTAAATCATAACTCCCAATGTCTTCAAGAGAACCCCTATTGATTTAAAGTCAAAAAGTTAGTGTCAAAAATTCATAGTCATAAAATGGTTTCCTGGTGATAACTTTGGATCTCTTTGGGGTTTTGCAATGAAATTTTGTTCTGTAAGTCAATATATCTTTTTGAAAAAAAATATATAATTCATTTTGAGGTCAAAATGTGAAGAACCAAGGTGAGAAATTTTTATATTGCATACATAATTTTCAGATGATAACTTTAATTCTTGTTAGCTTTCGCAATGAAACTTAAGGTCATGAATTTCTCAAACTTAAAAAAGGTCCCAATCGTCTTTAAAGCTAAATGCTCAAGGTCAACCTTTTTCCTCTTTATTTGTCTTCATTTCTTTCAAGTCTTCAACTCTTTTCTTTTTTCTTTCCTTAAGTTCAAATTGTTTTAGTTAGCTAGTTTATTACATTTTCTTTGTTAGAAAGATTGCTCTAGAGTTGCAAAGTAAGGGGTTGATCTTTGGGTCGTGGGTTTGAATCCCACAGTGAGACATGGAGACTGGTGATTCGGATGAGACTGCATGTATAAACTGAGGTCCTGTGCTGATATGAAAAAAAAAATCCTAACTGCTCAAAGGCCCTAAGTACAGAGGATACAGATTTAAATTTGCAGCCCTCCACCGGCAAGTGGTGGCCTCTCAGTTTCCGTGAAAAATTCTCAAAGAGACGTTAAACAAACCAAAAAAAAACCAAAAAAACAAAAAAACATTCGTTTATTAT